CGCTCACATCGCCGTGTGAGCGAGGCATCCCCAGCGCGGCGAACCGCCTCCAAGCCCGCTTCCACGTGAGGAAGCGCGTCGTAGTATCGCTCGGCGCCCACGCTGACCGAAAGGGCAACCCCGTGCACCAAATCCACCAAACGCTGTAACGGCACGAAAGCGGGGTGGTCCAGAGGATCCGGAACAGAAGGTCCCGGGACCAAGCTCGAAGGGGGGGCAGCCGGAGCGCCGATATCGACTACGGTGGCGGAGGAGCCGACGCCCTCAGCGTCGCTGTGGTCAGAAGCAGAGGCCATGGAGGAGGGGAAGTTCTTTGCGGCAATCTACTTCTGGCGAATTCTTCTCGAAGCAGTAAGAACTCTGCTAAAGGGGAGCAAGTACTAATATGTGTTCGGAAAGAATCCAACGGCTGGGATTCATCACCCCAAGCGATCGAGCGGTCCGAACGCCCTGCGACGCTTCGAACTCGACGCCATTAAAGGCTACTCTCGAGACCCCAAACCGACAGATCGGATTGGGCACGAGAGGCGAAGCGACCGGTCGCTTCACCATAAATAAGCATTAATGCGCCTGCAGAGTCTTGGCTGGCAAGCACTTGGGCCCGTCGACCGACACGTTGCGTGAGTTTCGCCCGCAGTTGGATCTCCGACTGTTGGACAAACTCGCTGACTGCTCAAGTTTCGCCTACAGTTCAAACTCGCCGGGCAAATCGAGTCGGGTTTCCAACACAAGCCCATTATCATACGAGTTTCGCCCGCAGCATAAACTTACCAGCCATTGAGTTCCGTTGCCAAGCGAAACTTGCCAGCAAATGAGCTTTGCCATCTATTTGAAATCGCCAACAGTTGAGATTAGCTTCCAAGCGAACCTCGCCACGATCAAGTCTCGCCTGGAAACAAACTCGTCAATCAATTGAGTTTCACCAGCAAATCGAATTCGTCAGGAGACGAGTTTCACCATCTTAGCGAACTCGCCGTCGCCCTGGTTTCGCCGATAGCATAAACTCATCGGAGCAGAGTTTGGCTTCGAAAAGTAGACTCGTCGTCGCACAAAGGACTTCGCCCGCGATACGAGATCGTCTGCGATTACAGAGCAAAATACTGGAAAGCGACGTATCCAAAGGGTATACGCACAATGAGCGGGCACAAACCTCATTGATGCCTTAAGACAGTACATTTGAACAAAGTTATGGTTTTTGCAATTGCGAAAGTCATAATGTTACGTTCAAAGAAACAAAACATGCACCCAGTGTTTTAAGACAATACATTTGAACAAAGTTATGACTTCATAAACAAACAAGTCATAAGCAAAATGTCTTAACACAAATCATAAAACAAAGGTCTCAGTCGAATACGCTAAAAGTGGAGATCTGTTCTTTGACTGCCTCCACCCGGCTCGTGTGGTCTTCCCGAGCTTTGTCTTCAGCAGCCTTCCGAATCCAGTCTTCGCGGCTCGACCTGGCGGCAGCATCCGCCTGGCGCAAAGCTTGCAGGCGTCGAGTTTCCGCCTCGACATTCTTACTGACCTTTATAATGTCAGACTGGAGCCCCTTCCACTTCGCCTCCGCCTGTCCTAATTCGGCCCTCAGGCGAGCCATGGTGCGGTTGAGGTCAATAATTTGCTCCTCTAGCAGCTCGAGCTTTGTCTTCAGCAGCCTTCCGAATCCGGTCTTCGCGGCTCGACCTGGCGGTAGCATCCGCCTGGCGCAAAGCTTTTAGGCGTCGAGTTTCCGCCTCAGCATTCTTACTGACCTTTATAACGTCAGACTGGAGCCCCTTCCACTTCGCCTCCGCCTGTCCTAATTCGGCCCTCAGGCGAGCCATGGTGCGGTTGAGGTCAATAATTTGCTCCTCTAGCAAATGTTGTTGACCCACCCAGAAGTTGGTGACAGACTCTAAATCCGCTATTTCTTTAGAGCGGGTCTCCTGCTCCAGGGCGTCCTGATGCCGGACATGAGCCAGGCAAGACTCCATGTTGGCTTCCGGACCTTCCCGTAGCAAGGTCTCTAACTCTATCATGTGTGGCTCCAAGAGACGAAGTTCACGCACGCAACGGGTGGCAAGATGATTTTCACCCGATCGCCGTAAATCAGCCACGCGATCATAGAGGGACTGCCTGAAGCTGTCGAAACTGCCCATGCCGAGTTCGACAAGGGAAATCGCCTGCCTCACAGCGCTCTCGAACTCTTCGATGCGAGCCTACCAGGACAAGGACTCGGAGGGAGCAGGCTCTTGGCCTGGAGCAAGCGCCATGATTGGTGGAATCTCGAGGCAGGGTTCAGCTCCCGGCTGGGGAGCAGGGTCCGAAGCGGCGGAGTTCTCAGAACCTTCGGATTCGTCATCCGAAATCAGGATAGGCTCGGCCGTATGCTCCTCGGCAGCCGGCGCCTCCTCTCGATCTGCAAAACACAACAACAACACAGAGAGGAATCAAGGGAAGGATACCTGTTCAAACCACGCAAGAGTCAGAATGAAAAGATACCTTCAGCCGCGGTGGCCTCAGCGGTGCTTGAAGAAGATGGCTCTTTCCTTTTTCTGGAAACGACCCTCTCCACCTTCGGCGCCATCAGAGGTGTAAGGAAAGGAAAATTTGAGTTTACCATGTGGGAAGACGATGAAAAGCCTGTAGATCCTCTTAACGGAGGATAAGGGCGTTAAATACCCTGGTCGGTTACCCAAGACTCGATTAGACCGTTCAGGGCTTGAACAGTTAAAGGGTGAGGCCAAAACAGATCGGATCTTACCTGGACGGACGAGATCTGACGGTTCGTGACCACGATCTGTAACAACGGCCCGAATCGGGCGCGAGAGACGAAGAGACCCACTACTTCGCATTTAATGCGAAACGGCTAGCCCACGTCTCCTTAACTGGCGTACACGTGGACTGACACGTGGCCCACTGAAAGCGGAACCCAGTCAGGACCAGATTCGCCGTCAAGACATCTGCAAATCCGCCTGCGGACAAAATCCGCCCACAGATGAGATAATCTTGCAGCAGAAACTCGCTGACAAGAATTCCTCTGCAGATGAGGTTTACGGCTAAATTCTGACCAATGCATGATTACGAAAATGGAGCACATCCACAAATGACAATAGGGACAATTTCATTCATGAAAAAAGAAGTCCCATTACAAGCGGAAAATTAAAGGCGAATTACAAGGATTTCAATCTCAGTTCCGCCTCACGAATTTCTTCAGCATGGCGAAGCTCAAGCCTCCTTAGGACCTCTCGACGAATATCTTCCTCTGTGCATGAAATCAAATCCTAAATAGCCTCTCTGACATCCTTGAGAGCTCGATCCTTCTCCGCAACAGAGCCAGTGGTCAATCGCCGGCGAGACTTAACGCCCTCCAACTCTTTTGCCACGTGATCACGAGCCTTCTCTTGAACGGCCAGGGCAGCCTGTGCTTCGGCTACAACCTGTTTCAGCCTCTCTATTTCGAAGGAGAGTCGGGAGAACTGGCTATCGACCGTTTCTTCCTCGCGGGCCACCCGTGCATCCTCGGCTTTGACCTGCTCCGACTCTGCTGACAACTTCAACTCTAGCGTCATGTTCTCGTTCAGGCGGCGATCACGATCTGCCATAGCTACTCGAACTTCGCGGGAGGCGAGATCAACAAGAGTGTAACTTTCCGCACGAAGAGCGAGCAGCTGCCGAACAGCACCCTCCACTTCGTTCAGACGCTGAAAATAGGGCCTCGCCACGGTAGCGCTGAGCCTCTTACGCAAGAAGGACGCATCGTGTTCAAGAACTTCCTTAAATTCTTCGAAGGGGCAATTCTCCTCGAAGACCAGCCGGGTGTAGTGGGCCAAAGTATCTTCGAAATTGGCCAGAGCTCGCTCCACCTGCGTCTTTCGCCAGCGTTCCAAGAGAGAGAGGGCGGCCTCCTCCGCCGTGGAAGAAATCACGGTCGAGGTACCTATGGCCATAACCGTAGGGGTGGTAATTGGCACCACCGAAGCCGGTGTGACCGATGATGACCTCGGTGCAGTGGTCACAACATCAACGGCCGCCGCCGACGAAGAAGTGGTCACCTGCAGAGTCCTTCCGTTGAAGCGGAGACTCTCGTGCCGATGAACGATCCCCAGCCGACGCTGCCGCAGGAGCAGGAGATCCCCCTATTTGGCCAGGCGCGTCTTCAGGAGCCAAATCCTCTTCCTCGCTGGACAATGCCTCATGAACCGAGACATTGTCATCCTCCTCAGATTCGCCCGACTCCCCAGATGAGCGGTTCGCCCAAGAGTGAGGATCCTCTTTACCTGTGACTTCACGGATAGGATCAGCTACGAACACAAGAAAAGAGGTTAACAGAGACCCCTCGAAAGGGACCCTACTAACGGTCGGGTACGGAAGGAAAAGTAATGACGCTTACCTGAGCCTGTGGGCCCCTCATCATCTCCAGCTTCCTCCTCTTCGTCGGAAGGAATGAAGATCACTTTCTCAACCGCACCTGTATAGGCTCAATACAAGTGTCAAAAGGTGTAAGATCAACGTTGTGATCAAGGGTACGGTTGCGAAGATTACCTCCTGATGCGGGCACAGAAGTCGCTGGAACTCCCGTCTGTGGTCTCATGATAGATTGCGGAGGAGCGTCCTTCGAAGTCGCCGGAATCGCCCCCGATGTGGCAGAAGAGGCGGGCAGCGCGGCTCCAGACCCAGACGTCGCCGCTCCGGGGATACCTACCTGGGGAACATTATCCCGACCTTCTACCGCTCGGACAGTCTCTGCTGTCTCATCACCGCGGGCCTTCTTAGCCGCCCCCGCTCGGGAACTCTCGGCCGCTGCCTCCCGCTGACGCTTCGAGAGAAGCGAGCTACTCGGAGACAGAAGCGGCGCCCCCATTTGTCCAATGGTCGGACTATGGACCGGTCCTGGGCGCCCGGATTCTCTTGGTTCGCCAGGGGCATCCAGCGAAGGACCGGGGGAAGGAACTCGAACCTCGGGAACCTCGGATTCGTCTAAGCCAGTGTCAAAACCCTCGGTGTCCTCAATTGGATCCTCCGAGAACAACTCCCTAGCAGTTTGATGGCCCCTTCGCCTCGAAGAACGGAGAGAGCCCCTGACAGGACGAACGCGTTCTGCCAGGCATGAGTTCTGGAACCAGAAATTAGCAGGATTAGCACTAGCGCCCCGATGTCCCTAAGGTACTCAGGCAGATGTGGTAGTGGCAGAGTAACTCCCACAGAGTCTCAACCGCCAAAGGGGAATGGCTCGACAGCTGATCAATCTCATCTTGATCGGGGACGTACTCCTCGTAAGGAAAGTCTCCCAGAGGCAGCCCCGAAACGTCGTACATCTCGTGAGGGGTGATACCAAGCTCACCATTGGGGGTGAAAAATGTACCGCTTTCCGCGCAATACATTTCCAGGATACTATGGAACTGAGAAGCGTTGATCCGCAGGCCGTGTTGAGTGGCTTCGATGGCCACATACAGCTCTGTGTCCTTGAGGTCAGCATTTTCGGCCAGAACATAGTCGGCTTTGAGCAACAGGGCGGAAGGGTCGGCCATAGCGTCGCCGAACAAAAATTGAGGCTTCGGCAGCTCTGCCCTGTCCTTATCTGTCAGCGCCGCGTTGGTCATCAGCTCGCGTAATGTCAAGTGATGACCGTCCGTGACTCTCTTTATCAGGCCATGCGGCTTATCGGCGGGCCGTGTAGCCCGTAGCCCCGGCATGGCCAACCGCCACACCCTCCGAGAAAGCCTCATCGAAAAAGGTCGCTGCAACAAGAAATAAAAAATCAATCGAAATAAAATCCGCTGTAGGGGCAAAATCGCCCATCAAACAGAGGCGAGCGAAATCGCCTGTCGAAAGGGGGAACCCACTTCGAACGAGGTCTGTCCGTACAGACTATACTCCCCTCTAACAGGAAAGGGCCGAACTCGCCTTACGAAAAGGGAGTTCGCCTCCTTCCCACTGAAGGATTCGCCCGCAGAGACAGTAATCATCCTCTAAGGGCAAATAGGGCAAACTTTACCCCAAATCGGGGAAGCTACCAGGCATAATGAGCAACACTCATCTCCCCAAAATCCGACGCCTAAGACCTACAAGAGATCGTCCAACGAACCCATCAACATACCTGGGCGCGACTCCAGAGCACCGGCAGGCATGCCGGCGGAGAGACGGTCGGAGTAACGTCCGGGGCCTGCACCCCTCACCTTGCACCTCTTAGATTTCGGAGCCATTGTAGGAGGAAGCGGGAATTCTTTCCTTGGAGGTTCCTTTCGAGATTTGAGAGCACGGTAACTCCCAATGGAGGAAAATGGCTGATTTAGCTCGAAAGGCAAAAACCCTAACGGACAGGAGACATGGCCACGATCAAATTCGACGGCCCAGATCACCCTCGGTATATCGAAGGAACCGAGGTTGGCGGTTGCATCCGACGGTTGAGTTCGAAAACCACGGCCATGATGCGTCGCAGGGCGGAACATACGAAAATCGTGTTGTCAAGTCACGATCGCCACGACCCGATGAGACCGCGCCGCCTTAGCTGGGAAGCACAAAGCCCTATCGACAGACACATGGCTCATCTCCCGTCAGATCTGGGCCCGCCTCAAAAAGGAAGGGTCTCGCCTGCAAATACTTGGCATGACCCCGCGAGTTGCACGAAACTTGGCTCCCCAAAGACTAATTTCGCCTTGACGAGTCATTCGCCCTCAAAGGGTAAAATTACGAATGAAGCCCATAGATTGACCTCGCTTAAACGGTTAAAACCACGCCTCAGACGGCTAAGGGTTAGAGCAGAAATCTTAGCACTAAGCCTAAGAGAAACTGTTCAGCAACTCATCATACTGAGGGGAATAGTATGGCTAGCCCGATTCGAACGGTAATCGGTAAAGGCACATCAAACCCGTTGATAGCTGAGGGTTGGCTAAAAATCCTAAAAGAAATCAAGTGTGCCTGCTTCACTAAGAATTTCCTCATTCAAAGTATTCCAGACCACACGCGAGCCGGTTCAGGTCTGAAAACTTTGAAGGGGGTCTTGTAGATGGTAAAAAATACCTCTATGGGCTTACAGGAAATTCGCCTACGAGAAGAAATCACACGGGCCTAAACCGTGTAGATGCCAAATGTATTCGATTCTAGATTCGCCTAACGATCGGCTCGCCTGCATGAGTTAAGGTCGATTGGGATAGCGGAAGTCCGCCTCTTACGCGATTCGCCTGCCCGAGTCCAAAGACGAATCCGCCTGCAAACCTCAAGGCCACTAGTACAGTTGGGTATCCGCTACCCTACGTGCTGAGATGGGCCATCCCATCTCTCTCGACCCGAAGGGAGAGAACACGGCACCCCCAGACCGTCAAACGGCCGCTCACAGTACGAAGGCCTAGACAGGTGTCGAGTCAACCTGAGCATTCATAAATGCGACTCACCTCAGCTGTCTGAGTCAAGAGCTGGATCCGCCGGCACTCGGCAGGTTGGCTAGACCCACTCAAGTACTGTGCACCTACTTCGCCGCCTCTCCTGACCGGAAAGGAGAAAGCACCGTGCTCAAAGCACGCCGGGCGGTCACGCACAGTACGAGTGATCGGACAGACACCTCATCAACCTGCGTCTTCCAAGTCAAGAAGAAGAGACTCAACTGTTCTAGCTATTGAGCAATCCGTTCATAGTTGGATCAGCTGATTGAACCACAAGCTCTCTGCATAATCTTTGCATTGCAGCATCACTGTTTAGTTCCGAGCTCCGATCGCCGGCGAACTAAGCAGACCCGAACTCCCTCGAGTTGAGCTTCTACTGCGAACTGAAGCTCTCCAGCAACCTCATTCAAACGGTCCAAGGGAAGCAGACTCGACACAAGCATCGAGCAAAGCATCCTGTAGCCACCTAAAGTCCCCACAAAAACAAAGAGGGCATTCCCTCTGCTTCTGTTGTAACCATTTGATTATTAGTTTGTAATACGCTTTCTTATTAATACAAACGAAACTCCCTTTTCCGGGAAATCAAATTTCTACCCTACAGTACCTTTGGGTACCCATGTCATTCCATAAAAATCATGATTATCATTAATCCTACAATGAGTAGAAATATGACCATGTTTCATGCAATATGTAAACACAAAATTTCTCTTATGTGTAGGAGCATAAGATCTATGAAATCTATTTCTATCATGGTGATGATGATTAGCATAAGCACGAGTAGGTCTAATTCTACCACTCTTAATTTTAAGTATTTTAATCTTGGATCTTAATTGTTTGTTTTCAAAATCAAGATCCCCTAGCAATTCATCTTTTAAAGAAAGAGAGGTTTGTAGTTGTTCCAGTTTGGCATCACAAGAAGCATGTAATTTTTTAAAGGAAGGAAATTCTTTTGACATCCTTTTAAACTCAATGTTTAGTTCTTCTAATGCGGTAGCTAGATCACATTGCTTGTAAAAGGATTCACTTTCGGTGTCGGAAACTACCTCCTTTTCATAAGCCATGAAGCAAATGTTAGGATCATGAAGAGCAATCTTAGCTCCTTCTTCATTGCTATCCGAATCGTTTGGTTCGGATTCCTCCCATCCGGCATACATGACTTTCTTATTTTTGTACTTCAAGTATTTCTCCTTGAGCTTGGGGCAATCTTTAACGATATGACCCAGTTCATTGCATTCAAAACACTTTCCTACACGTGAAGAAAATTTATTGTTAGATCGGGGATTAAACTTCTTGTTCATTTTAATGAGTCTAGAAATTCTTCTAGAGAGGTGATCCACTTTTCTAGAAAAATCAACTTCACTATCCGATAATGAAGAGGAGTTATCACTAGCTCCTTTGAGAGCTATGGTCTTCATTTTTGGTGATGGCTCCTCTACTTTCCTTGGGGGCACTTCCTCCTTCTCCTTTCCCTTGAGCTTCTTCTCATGAACCTTAAGCTTGCCGATGAGGCCATCGAGAGCTAAAGTGGTAATGTCATGAGCTTCCTCTATGGTCGTAGCTTTAGGTTCCCATACCAAAGTCAATGAACGAAGGATCTTATAGTTCGTCTCTTGGATAGTTAATTTCTTTTCAAGACCATGCAATTCATTGATTATGTTAGTAAAGAGAGAAAACATAGCATCAATGGATTCATTAGGAAACATCTTAAATAACTCATATTCATGCATAAGCCCACTAATCTTGGATTCCTTAACTTGGGGGGTTCCTTCATGTGTAATACACAATTTCACCTATATTTCGCATGCGGTTGCACACGTAGAAACCCTATTATACTCATTAGGGGAAAAACCACAAATTAAGGTGTTCATGGCCTTTGCATTGAGACTGGCTTGGTGTCTTTCTCCATCGGTTATGTTCCCGACTTTGGACTTTTCTACATATTTCTTCTCTATGAGTTCTAGAATGTCAAGATCAATACAACAAAGGTAAATCCTCATTCTAGCCTACCAATAAGCAAAATTACTACCAGTGAAAAGTGATGGTCTAGTGGTGGATTGTCTCTCTAACATATGTGTCGACCATATAGTTTTGATGATGATTTGTCAAACAATTTATCGCTAATATATTCTCTAGTTTTGTGTTTATGTTTCTCTTTACAGGTATTTCAACACACGACAATCAAGAGTTAAAGATTCAACTTCATATGTGTGGATTTATCTAGGTATAAGTTTAGTTTACTTACATATATTGTATGTTAATATCTAAGCTCAATATATGTACACTTAACACGATTTTTGACGTTTTCTATCATATAAATGATTTTTCATCAAACGTTGTTACAATATCTTTTATTTTATGTTTACAGCTCTTTCATACTTTATTATATACATATAATATATGCATAATATATATATACATATTTACAAGCCTTATGTTAATTTTCATGTTCACGAAAAACAGGTTTTCTGAACACTTTTCAAAAACAGGGAGTTTTCACAAATAAAAATTGATTTTCCAAAAATTCCTTTTCAAACATGTCTATTTCATCATTTAGAAACTTTTCCCAAAGTTTCACTATTTTTGGAATTGATTTGATATTTTTAATGAATTTTCAAAATAACCCAAAACCTGTCAATATGCAATGTATCAGATTCCGGTCGACCGCCGCGGTCGACCGCCAGTTGCAATTCTTCTGAGCTTGCCTTTTTTGTGCTCGCGGTCGACCGTGATGGTCGACCATGAAAACATTTAGAGACTTTCGCGATCGACCGCCGCGGTCGACCGCCAGCTTTATATTTTCAAAACTGTGTTTTTTTAGCTTCGCGGTCGAATCATTTCCAACGGCTAGTTTTTACAGCTATTTTCAAATGGGTTTTTTGGTCTTTTACTTGTGTTTTTACTGATGTATTGGGTTGCTATATATACCCCATTGCTGCTCTCCTTCTATGCACCCAAGAAATCCAAGTTTTGTGTTTAACAAAATATTTAGTGTGTTTCAAAGAGCTGTTTAAAGCTGATTTCATCAATCTGTTTCAAGAGAAGTTTTCCTATAACAAGAAGTGGCTTTCAAATCCTATTGGGATCATCATCTACTATTCTTCTTGTTTGAGAAATTTTCTAAACTCTTATATAGCTTGTTATTTCATTTTCATTTCAATTAGCTATATTTATTGAGTTTCATTCACTGTTATCACATACACATATTGAGCTTAATATCTTCATACCATATAGTGTGGGTTGTGGAGTGTGATTGAGTGAGTGTGAGCTTCATTGTGTTCTCACTTGTTATTTGAGAACAAACCATTGTATTTAATCCTCTTTTGTGAAAATCACTTGTAATACACTTGTACACCGAGAGAAGTGTGAGGCGAGAGATGGGGTTGAATCCAATAGGAGTGGTGTCGGTTGACGAACCTAGGGAGAGGTTGTAACCGAGCACTTGAGGAGGAGGACACGGGCTAAGTTCCTACACTTAGTGTATAAAGTGTGATTGATTAAGGATTGTGTAGTGTGAGAGTTTTCGGTGAACTTGTAACCGAATGTGTAGAAGTTCCGGCTTCCAAACCGGATTGTGATAGTGGATATCCCCTCGAGGTGAGGAGCAGGGACGTAGGTCGTGGTGACCGAACCTCGAAAACATATCGTGTGTTTGTGTTTTGCTTGGCTTATATTTTATTTGTGCATATTCTTATTATTCTTATTCATATCTATCTCTTGCAAGAACATATTGATCAACATAATTTTAATTG